GAGGGATTTGTGAATGGAATTTATTATATTTTGATCGAGGTGAATGCTTTTGGCATATTATCCTGTCTTCGCCGTCATTTTTTTCCTTCCGTCAGTCTCTCCCTACTTTTTGACAATTTGAATCGAGCGACTCATTATTTTATATTGTGAGCCCCGCTAACAATAGTCATCTTTCCCTCTTTTTTTTAACCATTTCAAGACTCTTCTTCGACTGCAGACGCTTTTAAATTGAGAATTATATTAAAAACGAAATTACCAGATTTGTATACTCTTTTCTTTCTTTGCAGTATAATTTTTCATTATTAAGAATCTCTTCTAAACTATTCCCTTATTACATTTTTAGATTTAAAATGAATGTCACAATAAGTTGAAGTAAAATTAAATGTATTTAAATAAAACTTTACAATAATGTCATATTACAATTTATATTACAAGTAATATTATTCAGAAAAAAAAATTATGAAACACTTTATATGTATAGGGAAAAAAAATTTTTAGATGAAGTTTCCATTCAATATGGTCTTATTTGGAGCGAAAGCTTTATCTGTCAACACATCTAGCTTTTCAGGGATTGAAAATGTTTCCAACTGTGCGTAGGGAAGTGCACTCTACACGAAGGGTCGAGTGTTGATGATTTTCAAAGGGGAACTCTATAAATGTGATTCTCTCGTCTGATAAAATTAAGTATTTTAAATCAACTTCATTTTATTTACTAGTTCGCACCCAAAATCGTTTTGTTCTTAATTCTGATGACAAAAATATTCTTCAGAATTTTTTAATAAAAATATATTTTTTAATTTATGGCAAATAAATGTTTTTATAGAATCTTAAAAAAATGTGCTTCTGCAAAAATTGTACAATTCGTTGTGCAATTTTAAATATTTATGAAAACAACAAAAAGTTAGAAATGATGTACACTCCAATCTCGAGAGTCAAATATTTGAAGATGTTGCGAATGTACCAACTAAATGTATTTCACAGTCGTATTGATTTACTTACAAATAGAAAACATGAAAAAGAAATTCGTCACATGTGTACATTCGAAGACCCTCTCAAATAAATACGAAAAGCAGACTGATAAAAAATGCAATAACTTTGATTTTTCAATATTTGCAATTTACTACATATATTGATAGAGGAATATCAAAATCAATTTACAAAACAGTTATTTAGTTATAACTATATTTTTCTAAATTATTGATTTTAGACGAAATTGTGATTCACATTTGAAATGAATTTTTAAGATAATATAGATTTCAAATTGATGCCAATCAAAGATAAAACTCGAAGAAGTAGAGTGGAGTGATTTTTTATATCATTATTTCTTTACAGAGAAACGCAGACAATGATGGAGATGCATTCAAGGGTACACTTTACATTATGAGCTTGGAAAGTTTTTTTTAAAGACACGTATATTGTATATAAGTGGTATATGTACTTTCATTTTCGATGCTTATGTTAAAACTGACGTAACAGTTTACATTTGTAAAAGAAACAAAATCGGATCATGACGAGAGATAATGAAAAAAAATTAAACAAAAAAAGTACCCTTAGTTTTTAGTCTTAACGAGCACCTCGAAAACAAAAGCTCGTTTCTGTTCTCAATACAATTTTAGACTTCAGATATACGCATACAAGGTTAACGAATTTAAGAATATATAAATTTTCTTTTGCTCCTTTCTTTTATTTCTGATGATTGTAATGACAATTATATTCTATAAATTTTTTTTTGAAAAGTATCTCAGTGATTTTTTGTAAATTTGTGTGATGGAAACTAAAATGCTCTCTACCTTACGGAGTTCTATGCAACGCAGAAACTTTTGATCAAGATCAAATGCCTAATTCTTGGAAACTGCTGGACTAGATAGAACTGCGTATGATGGAAATGTTCTACCTTACACAGTTCTACCTTGCGCAGTTCTATGCAACGCAGAATTTTTTGATGAAGATCGAATTCCCAGTTCTTGAAAATTGCTACACTAGATAGAACTGCGTTATATAGAAATGTTCCAACTTACGCAGTTCTATGTAATGTTATACAAAAAATACTCTATTAAAATTTTCAGGAGTATGAATAGTTGAGTCTGCCAATATAAGGCATTAATATTTAATTTAAGCGTCAGGATGATGTGAATAAGAAAGTACATTGAATTCGACTAAGCCGATAACATTCGTCGGAAAAGGTGTGAAAAATGGAAAAAAAAGAAATGAAAAGAGAAATGAAGTTGTAGAGGAACTGTGAACGCGAAATAACCCAAACACATACAGGTGTGCATCATCGTGTGCGAAGAAAAGAAGTCTGTCTGGTAGGGTGTCTCGACGCATTGTCCATGTAGACGGATGAGTTGGCTCTTTACAGAAATGCATGTTGAGTTTTCAAGGGTGCATTGGCACAACCAGGGTAGAGATGGATTTGTAAATGTGTATTTGTGTGTGTGTGTGTATATGTTATACACTGACGAGCGTCACGATTCGTCGACCAACACTATTTTCTACTCGTCTGTCTCTTTCCCCTTTTTGGTCCGTCATTTTCGTTCTTTCCGTTTGTTACTCTCGCCTTTTAAACGTGATTCACCGACAGAGGCACTATCGATAGTGATTGCGTGATGACGGGAGTTGAAGCACAAAGAGAAACTGGAATGGGAACCGAGAAAGCGTCACCACAATTTTCACAAAGTCTTCGCAAAAGGCGATTGCTACAGACGAACTATTATTGCTATTGCTTTTTTGCGGTCTGAAAAAAAGTATTATATTTTCATCTATATTAGGGAACATTTTTCTCACGTGAGTGTAATTTTATTCTAGTCATTGGTAAAAAGGATAGAAAGGTCTATTTGTAAAATTACAAAATCATTGACCAATCATTTTTATAGATATTCCCACCGCTGCCGCTAAATATAACTTATGTTTGTAGATTCAATATTAAACCTTCAATAACCTTCAATTTAATATGTAAAATTAAAAAAAATCTATTCTACTTGAAAAGAGAAGAAGAAAATGTTCACTGTGGATGACATATATGAGTGTTGACGCAAGAGAAATATTGTATTAAGAATAAATTGTTTTCCATTGTGGCAAAGAGTACGTGTCTATGAAAAACCATTATGGTCGATTCCTTTTATCTTGATCGTAACATCTTTTTCTACTTGGTTCTGTTGTGTGTTGAGACTGATGTCAGCTTCTTTTACCAGTAATGATGTAACGAGGATCATCTGTGTACATGAGAAGAGTTCAAGAGATGTTAGCTATTGGTAGCTGTCTCGTCTTATTTGAATCTCAGTCTATTCCCTTCTATACAAGAGCAAAAGATATAGGAAACAAGAAGAAAAGAGGAAATGCACAGAAAAAGAATACAAAAAAAACACACTTGTGCTCTTTCCCATTCAATGTGCACCTTCTTTTACATAACTCTTCTCTTCTTTAAATCTACCTTTTTTCGCATCCTTCCATTCTATAGAAAGTATCTGAATTTCTTATATAGAGAAACCGTGATGTTATCATTTAATAGTTTTTTGTTGAAATATAACAAAATGTATAAATTATGTTAATTCTGATACAATATATGATTGCAATTGATTATATAAATAACAGAATTGAATAGAATTAATTAACAACCTTAAGTTTTGGAAGAAGAGTTTGAAAAGCCAGTAAGTGGATGACGCTAGGACTCAATTTTCGAGAGATGAGGATAACAGTTACAGTCACCAACCAAGAAGAGACGGAGAGGAGCAATTATTTTTCATTTTATACAGCAGAAAATAGACGTCGATTGACAAAATTTTTATGGGTGAAAGTCTGAGCTACAGAAAACTTAATAAATTAATTTGATGAAAAATCTATGAAGATAGATAATTCCAATGAAATTTTCTTGTATTTTCTTTAAATCTCTGATGATGACAGTCAAAGCAATAGACCTTTAAATTATTTTAAAAGAATTGTTTTTAAATTATGAAAAATAATTTCGCGTGCATTTAAAGTATTTGTGTAAATTAATAATTCCTTTATAATTATTCTTGTCTGAGACACGACAAAGAATAACTTTTTGGATGGGAAAGTTAAAATCGTTGCTTTAATATACATTCACTATATCCTCTTGTGACCCTAATGGTCAGTACAAGCATGTTAAAGGATTAATTTCCCGATTTCACTGCCGCTTATATAAGTAGAGAGTAATTCGAAACAGCTGTTTCCGCGTTGAACGTCCTTGGGGCAGGATGGCATTAGCCTCCAAAGACCCTTTGAATGCTCACGAACCTATTTTACACTCTAAATGGATCTAAGCTCTTCGACATCCCTCGCGTCTCTGGGAAATTGTCATTCGAATTTTCGGCAACAGGAAATTGAATTGTTGTGTAATCTGTGTAGACGGGGAGTATAAAAATATCCATCTAATTGAAAATTTTTTTTTTCCAGATCGATAGCTTTTAAGTGAAAACACATTATTCAAGATTGATTTTGAAATTCCATTTTGTTGATTTTAGTTTAAGGTTTTTTTGTGATATTTTTTTTAATATTTACATTTAAAAAAATTGTCATTAAAACCAAATAAACAAAAATAAAATGAAATTATTCTGACAAAAAGTTAATTATAAATGCGCCAATTATTAAATATTGCAGTTTAATTCAGAAAATGTATTATTTTCAATTTATCTTACTTTGATGACATTTTCAAACTTTTCGAATTCCCAAAAGGAATAAACTGTTAAAAGGTTAATGCAATGTCAACTTTATCTTAAGTTTTTTTTTCAAAACTTTGTTTTCTACCGAGAAAATTCTAGACGAAGGAGTTGATAAAAATAGTATAAAAAATTTTCTTTACTTCTAGAAACATAAATTTTGCTTCTTTCTCTAATATTAAAAATTAAAACATTCGAGATTTATATTTTCACTAAACATATGTTTGTATGGATACATACACATAATTTTGTACTAAAATATCAAAATAAGATATTTCAATAGAAACAAAAATGTTGATTGGAAATTATTTTTCTTTGTTTCAGGAATGATCAACAGACGTCTATTGTTGCTGTGGATGTGGTGTGTTTTTGAAAAAGTAAAAATGCAAAGTGACAATTTAAGTGTTTGGTAATGAGTGAACGATTTGTTAATAAATTTTAATCGGATCTTGAAATTGAAACTGTTGCTCAGAAATCGTATTGCTTGCACAAGAGTGAAAATCTATCAAGGAGTAAGAATGATGGTGAGTAGTTTACCATATAACATGCAACCAACTCAGTCATTAGATCTCTTGTCGGGTCGTTTAAGAGCAGTTCATCAAGTATGCATTTGAGTTTCAATCCCTGGTGCTGCTTTTGCAACTTGCTGCGTAAATTTCATGGAAAACTCTTCCTTTGAAATGAAACACTGTTAAATTTTAAATACACTTTAGATCGCTTTAAGTATTGCTTGAGAGAGAAATTTCTCTCCAGTTTGAAAAACATAAAATAATGAATGAAAAGTGCTTTCTCCCGTATTCACCGCTATTGGACGCTCTCCATATTCCGCTGATTTTAGTTTCCCGATATTTTCAATCCTGTTTGAATCACAGCATCTTTAGATATTACGAACTTATAAGCATGGCTGAATAAATCGTTCAAAGGAGAAATAAAAAAATTTCTTTTGTTCCCCCCGTTTCTTTTGAAACAACTAGCAAAACACTTTTATTCAATAGTAAATTGTCCTCAATGCAAAAAAAAAGTTTTGCAAAAATTTAAAAATGAAAAAATTTCTTTTTCAAATTAATAATTTTAATATCTGATAGAATAACTATTGGGCTAGGAAAAATAATTGACATAAAAATTATTTGTGTCCTTGAAAAAAATAATGTAACAATAAATTGATAATTTATTATATGAGAGAAAAATGCAATTAAATTCTTAATCGTGTCAAAGTGATGTTTTATGTCATTTTTTAATGTTCATCTTTTTCATGTTATATTGATCAGTCACGTCTAATATTAATAATAATAATTTTTGAAGAAATATTATGACCGCAATAAAAAACAGATCGTAAAGTTTCATAGCTAGATTTAAGGTATCGTGTGTAACAAAGGGAGCGTGAAGTGGATAGGAAGATCCGCTGAGGAGGGTCTTACGAGCTCTCTAAATAAATAGAAATTTATATATATATATATATATATGTGTGTGTGTATATAGATATCGGCAATAAATAAGGGTACAAGTAAAGTGGGGTAGCTCGTGCTGCATGTGAAACTTCAAATGCACTCTGCGCGGTCCATCAAAATGCAAATGTCTTTTATCCGCGCGGTAATATATGCGTCGGTCGAGAATCAGTATTCGTACATGCGATCCACCCCCAACGTTACTACAGGGCTAGTATGCCACTAGTATAAAGCTCCGGATTCTGAGATTTCACTGAACAAAGTAACCCTCCTTAGATCACGAATCACCGCTTACACGCCCATTCTTTTTACTTGTAGCCAAATCTCCAATCGATGAGTTCTTAAGAGGAAGACCACATTATTTCTAACACTAATCTTATTTAAAAAAAATTATCAAATTTGCTCTACTAATTTTTTTTTTACAAAAAAATTCTTTGGTGAAATTCTGAGCTAATAGACAAATATAAAAATCATTGAAACTTTAATGAAATAATAATAATAGGTCATAAATATTCTTTGGTGAAAGTCTGAGCTAAAAGACGAATATTTAATTATAGATAAACATTTCCCTTTAGATTTGATTTCTATTTAGTATATTTTTATTAAAAGAAATAAGTAATGGAGATTTAGAAAAAGAATAGTCGATAAACTTTAAAGAACGAATTATTTTAAAAATGTACTTCAAATCGTTTTATATAGGAGTGAAAGTTTTAACTTTGAAATGAAAACATTTTTCGAGTAAAAGTTTTAAAGCCATAGATTTTCGTTAACTTTAGATAATCTTGCGTAAATCCTTAGTCCCTTTTTTTCTAGCGAATAAGAGAATGGGAGAATTTTCTTGTGAAGATTCAAGATCCCTCCTATTTATCCGAGTCAGAGTACTAGAAAAACGGACGATTTTATCGTTCTGTGCAAATTGAATTCTGTGATTCGATGAAGAAACGAGTAGAGAGAATAAGAGAAGGAAAAAGAAACACAAATTCACTAAATTTCTTTCATAATTCCCAGTAAATTATATAATGTAATTTATATTTAAAAGTAAATTGAAAATTACTTTATGGAGTTAAAAAAAATTGACTCTACTCTTTTCTTAATTGAAAGCAGTAAGTAAGAGACCTTTTGTCTTTTTCCGAAACAAATTGGACAATGGCCCGGGGTGTCTCGTTGATGTTGCCTTGTTGTTTTGTTTACAAACACCTATGTTTGATGGTGGTCCAGATGGCTGGGATGCTGAGTTAGGGTTCGTGAAGAGCGAATTGCTTGAATGGTATACGTAAGACAAACATCCTTGGTACAAAAGGTGGGTTACCTTGTCAAGGCTTTTCGAACTACAAAGTCTCCTTCGCTTTTCAAACTAAACCTCTAATTCGTTCTCAAGCTCTCTCACTTTCTATCAAGTTAAAATAATCTTAATATTATCTCCTCTCTTATTTAAACCAGAATTAAAAATAAAAATTTCTACTCATATATTTTTTTTAATCAACTTTTTACTAAAAAAACATAAAAGTTAATAAAATTTTCATAAAAATTGAAAATGTAATATTTGTTTTCGTCAAAAGGTAAACAAAACTAAATGAAACAAAAAAAAAAAAAGAAGCAAAATTTTTGTTGGTTGAATGAATTCAGTAAATGTAGGGAACATATTGCAAATGAAACTTGTTCCTTTTTCGAGCCAGCCAGGAGTGGCTGAAAATATAAAAGAGAAAAGCACCACTTATCAAAGAAGAGCAATGTAATTTAAATTCAATTTTGATCTTTTGGAGATGAAGGGGAATAACATTCAAGATTATATTAGGTTTTTTTTCCTGGACTGTAAAATCACTATAAAGTTTATTCGTAGATTGAACACATTTATAAAGATAGGAAGGAAAAAAAAGGTGAAAGCCTATTTCTGTTAGATACCTGGTTGAAAATTCGCAACGAGACACTAGATTTTGTTCAATCGAACGAGCACGATTGAGCGTTTCATTTAAGCGAATGCCGCCCGCTACGAAAGCCCAAACGAGTTTCTGTTTTCACGAAAAAAAAGTAACCATGGCTTTTAGTCGCGTATTTCGTTCGTTTACGGGCGTGCACTAATTACACTCTTTTTTTTCTCGATTTATTTTTTCATTACCTCACAATGTGAATAGAGTCTTTTGTATAAATTCCGCGAGGAAATCATTCCTTTTTCCCACTGGCATATTATCAATATTTGTAAACTAGAAGTTTATTGAAGAGATAATTTAAGTTTATAAAACATGAAAACAAAAGTCAAAAAATAATATCAGATCTCCAATAGATTTTGTTATTACCGTTAATTAGATTTTTCCAATATTATTATTCATAACTGTCATAGTGAATTACGGACAGACAAATGTTCTAAGTGATGTTTACCACAACTGCTGAAACTAATGTTACAAAATAGAGGATCAATACAAGTTTCGCATGTGAGAGGTAAGCCACAAATGTAAATGGGAGATTTACCTTTATATGTTTTACATATATTGCATTTATTTACGTATATGTTAGATACACGATATACATTGTTAGTATCTAATAATAGATGCCCTCGCAGATTCAAATCACCACAGCGATGGAGCGCACAATCGCGTCGACATAAACCTCGGGATTATCTGCAAGCTCTTTGGTGTAATTGCGCGTGTACAAGGATATCTCTTTACTCTTGTCAAAAATTTGCCCTCTTATTTTTAACCATCTTCTTTATATTGTGTCTCTTCAAAATATAACATTTTTTTTCTAAAAATCAGTATTATTATTTCAAAATCATTGTCATGCAAAGTCTGCTTGTGATTGTATATTGAAACGTGATATTCATATATGAGAGGAATATATATTGGATTACTTTAATGGATAAACAGGAAATATAGTTAATCCCAGCCTCGAGGGTATCAAAGTCGGTTTTTGTAATTGAAGCATCATTAATCAGCGCACATACGCAGACATGACGTTCATATTCCCCGTTTATTTTGCAAACTGCTTTTATGCAGATTCGTAATAATTGAATCCGTCGCGACGACGTTCATCATTGTTTTCGCCACCTAGGGTGAAACAAATCTCGCCCGACGTGAGTTGCATCACCCCCTTTTTGAAAATATATTGCAAAAACTTGTCGCTAAGCGGAGAGTTCTGTCGTGAATTAAACGCATTGGGAAAGGTAGAAATATTTTTGCTAAATCCTAACTCTAGAACTAGAAAGTCAGAAGTAAAGAAAAATTTAATTTATCCGGAGATCAACTTTACAAATTGAATAGAATTAAATAATAAACAAGTATTGGAAGAAGGATTAAAGAAGCCAATGATTCTAGGACCCAACTATCGAGAGATGATGCCGCAACAGTTGCAGTCACCAACCAAGATGAGTTGGACAATCTTGAGAGGAGGATTTTTCATTTTATGCAGCAGAAAATGATCGTCGATTGACAAAATATTTATTGGTGAAAGTCTGAGCTAAAGAAAACTTAATAAAATTTTGTTTTGAATGATAATGTATGCATCCGTCAATGTGGTGGAAATTCTAAAAACATTTGTCTCCCTCGAGTAAATAAGTAAATCAGCACGAATTGGAAGAGACACTCCTGGACATTGTGACCACTCGTGTGTTTGGAACTGATCAGAAGTAGTTGATAGCTGTGGCACACGAGAGGGTTTTAATACCAGCTGAGTCACCCGCTGGGCATTAGCAGAGAGGCAATAAAGCTAAGTGTAAACAGTGGTAGCGACACCCCGAACGTAAGATAGGGTTACGCTATTTCTCACTGGAGTCGAAAGGACACGTTTAAACGATGTGCTGGCTTCCTTGGTGGCAATTCGCTTGGAATCGCCTTACGTTCAACCTAAAGAGTTGCAGGAAGAAAAGCAGATAGTGTTGCATGCTAGACGCATAAATACCCTCTTGTTCACTGCTGTTACAGGCTTATCGTTATTCTGCACACGTTTGGCCGTTCGTCGCAGCTAGAGCACTAACTACTTGCGTTACGAGTCGGCCAAGGACCCTCGATAAACAACCCAGAGAGAGAGAGAGAGAGAGAGAGAGTTCCCGCCGATACCTATAAGCATTCAATTTGCATATAAACGCG